GTTTGCCACTTGGTCATGGAAAAATTACTTTTGGTCAGGGAAAAGTCAGTGAAAAGTCAGGGAATTTTAATTTTTGATATGAGTGGGAACCCTGTGCAAACAAATGTCCAAACTTTTCTTTTCCTTTCCTTTCCTTTCCTTTCCTTTCCTTTACATTTGCACGCATTTAGCACTAATTAGTAGTAATTCATGCAGAATCCTTTGTTTTCTATTGTTTGATTGTCACTGTTTAGTACTAAAAATTAGTATTTGTTTCACGGGTTTAGTGCGAGCACTTATTAGTTCATCTACAATGTTGTAAAAAATTGCATTTAACCATATTTTTCAACAACACTGATGCAAATCTAACGAAATCGTTTTGATTATGTTCAATTTTTCTACGATTATCTCCTCCAAAGAAACAAACAATTATCCCCTATTTAGCACACTTTATATTTCGGCTTGATTCCCAAGCTCTTTACACAATAACTAGGGTTTCTTTCAAAGCCCCAGGGTCTAAACATTCAATCCATTAGCATATTCCGATGCCATCTGTTTTTAATATCAGTCAATCAATGATCAGTACCCTAAAATGTACCTTGAATTTCACTCAAAAAAATCTGCTATCATTTTCTCGAACCTTTGGCACTAATCATACAAAACGAACCAGCTCTCACAAGGCATTTTTCAAGGGAAGTAGATATATAGAGTAAATAGTATAGTATTCTATTTTTGAACGTTGGGTTTCTGTAGCAAACGAAATGATCTTATCTTGCTGTACATCACCTCAGGAGTGTAGTTTACGTCAAGTGCTTTATTTCTTTGAGCGATAACAATAGTTTTTTTAATCTTTATGTAGAAGACTAGTAGCCACAAGCGTTGAATTAATTAAGGTTTGTGACTGTTAATTCGTATCTTCTGGTAAAACAGCCTTAAGATTGGTTATATAAGTGCAAAAACGCACAAAAAAGCACAAAAGTTACACAAAAACGCAAAGCAGAACAAACGAAAGGAAGCGACAACAACCACGAAGACCCACCTACTTTCTTTTATATGCTTTTCATGGGCCTTATTCACGCGGCAGCCATGTTGGATTGAACAATAGATTCCACCACGCGTAGCCTCAAATTCAACCGCTTGAGAATAAATTTATGCGGGGGAAACAAAGGTTTTTATTCTCATGAGAATAAACATGGCCGCCGTGTGATAAAGGCCCATTGTATTGTTTTCTAAACCGCATTGATTTAGAACTTCCTCTTTTTTTTGGCCTTTTATCTCTCCATAATCATTTGCGGTTTTGTTGTGCCCGCGCACATCATTATGACTATCGTTAACCAGAGGGCTCTGGACCTGGACGATTATTGTTGTGGAAGATGTGGAATCATATTATCAGTTAGGCCCGGGTCGCACTTGAACCAAATTTTCGGAATGTTTTAACTTTGTAAAACAATCTGTTACCTGGAACATGTTCGCAACAATCCAATATCAATTTATTGAGGTCGCACTGCGATTAAACAATCCCTACGCAAAGTAAACAAGACATTATCATGTGGATGTTGTAATCTCAGTTCTAGACACAATGTCAAGTTCACTAATGACAAATTTATAATGAGCGATTGATAAAGATATTGATGGAATTCTTTAAATTGCTAGTTTTATTTTTTATTTCATTTTATTCTTTATTTGAATGATTGAATGAAGGAACAATATTCTGACTTAGAAATCTTCGAAGGCTTCGCGTGTTTCAGAAGTAATAGACAACAAGTGTTGGAGAAGAATGGAATGCATCCAAAAAAGGTGCGATAAGGGAACATTTATCGTGAGATCATTTCGTGAGCTTTCAATAATAGGATTATCCAATTTACAGCAGTCTTAATACTTCTCGCTAGTATTTGCAACATAGTTTAAAAAAAAGACACATGAAATTGACTGTTTCCATGGAAACAGACCATAAATAAGTCAATTGGAGGATACCTTTTTGTGTGTTTGAGTCGAGGAGAAGGAGAAGGAGAAGGCAAGAGAAGAGATGAAAACCCACAATTTTTGCAAGGTATTCAAAGTACTCGCAGATGACAAGTACTTGACTAGTTAATTTGGCTAGTACTGGATCATCAAATTACGACAAGTGTCAATAAACAGCCTCTTTACTTAGCTATTTTGTTATACATTTTTGAATCCCTGACCGCACGCAGTCAGAACTAACCATCATGAGCATGGCTTTAGGTTTAATCCACATGCAGAACACAAAGTAGTACACCACAGTCAAAATACCGCGAAAGGAACTGGGTACTGTCACGGTCACGTGACGACTAACTTTATATATGTATATGAGCGCTATATAAATATATTTATTATTTATTTTTATTATAACATCAATATTTCCTAGGTCCTACAACAGCTAGTATCCAGACTCCTCCGGCACGCCCAACAAGACTATCGTCCCAGGCTCCAAGAGGGAACGGAATTCTACGAACAGATGATGTGGATCTCGATGAACAACGAATCACTGAAGACTTGTTCAAGAACTATGATCCAGGCCTTAGACCAGTGTTTAAGAAACAGGATAATGTTACTGTGACGTTAGGGGTCTCTGTGCATCAGATTATTGACGTGGTAAGAAATTCTATAAAGACCTCTACCTTGGGCGTAATGTTTTTCTAATTCAGACCACGTGTCATTCTCTTGAGAATAAGATTCTTTGTTTGAGCTGTATTCATATTTATGCGTCTTCTCATGTGCAACCATTAAACGTCATTAAACGCCTCATTCCCAGGGTGTAATAATTTCCCATTTCAGACCACGTGTCATTCTCTTGAGAATAAGATTCTTTGTTTGAGTTGTATCCATATTCATTTGTCTTCTCATGCGCAACCGTTAAACAAAGAAATGATACTCAAGGGAATGACACGTGGTCTGAAATAGAAAAGCATTATGTACGAGGTAACGAGGTATATTGTTYGTTTACAAGTTTTCCAAAGACAGTGAAATGACAAAGACATGGCGGCCATGTTGGTGGTATTACTGTGAGACATTATAACCGGGACCACTTGAAGAAAGAGTTAACCAATCGCGACCAAGGTCGAAGAAGAAAAAAAGGAATAATCTAACAATCAATCGTGATTGGCTGAGGTCAATATGATACTAATTTTGATCTCTCCTGATTGGCTAAAGTTTCTTTCATGTCAATACCCGCTGGTTAGTGTGTCCGCATCGTAACAATGGAAGCTTATAAGAAACTTTATGTTAAATACCACCAACCTTGCGGCGATGGCGTAACGCACATCTTGTTTGAGTAGTTTGAGCCCCAGGTGGGTTATAGATTATTTGTTCAGTAAACAAGAGTAGCAATAGTCCATTGCTTTGTTTTTTTGATGGTTTCTTTATCTGTAGGATGAGAAGAATCAAATTATCAAGACTAGTTTGTGGATACGACAAGTAAGTAAATAGTAAACATGCATGAACGAAAGTGCATGCATGAACTTAGAGAGTCCGGATTCAACACTGAAATAACATTGCTATCATTATTACTATTCTTCTTATTGGTATCATCATCATCATCATCATTATCACCATCATCATCACCATCACGACCATCATCAAGATCACCATCATCATCAACACCACTATCGTCATCATTAGTCATCATCATCACCATCATCATCATAATCATCATCATATTCATCATCATCAAGATCACCATCATCATCAACACCACTATCGTCATCATTAGTCATCATCATCATAATCATCATCATAATCATCATCACTATCACCATCACAACCCTGAAATATTAAACCCATCCACTATTCCAATTCCTTCAGAGACAATTTTTTTCAATGATAAGTTGACGTAAAAGCCTCAACGTTCAACCTAGATATTGATTTTCAATTTTCAAAATGAAAAAAGTTAACTGTAGGCGTTTCTTTTCTTCAGATATGGAATAATCCATTTCTACGCTGGAACTCTACTTATTACGGGGGAATCAAATCCATCAATGTAAGCCCTAAACAAGTATGGAAGCCGGATCTGGTTCTCTACAATAAGTAAGTGAAACTACACACTGCCCAATAGAAGACGTGAGCGTTATTTTTTTTGTTAAAAACAACCAACATGGCGGCTTTTTCAGCCACTAACAGGCACCCCAGACCTCCTATATATCCTATATTTCCTATAATTTGTATAGGATCCTATATAGAGCCTATATTTAAAGAAAACCTCCTATATTTCCTATAAATAGGACGACTGCTGAGTGATTCATTTATATTTTACACTGTTTAGCATATTTGGCGAAGGAAATAAAATGGCCCTTTTTTGCTGTTGTTTTTTTATGGCTTTTTAGTTCTGCCAATTATTGCCTGTGCACCCTCCCGATCCCTGGTTACGCCACCGAAAAGCTATCTTAGCTCCTATATTAGGTGCATATATTTTTGGAAAAAAATCCTATATTTTCCTATATTTAGAACTTGCACAGCCTATATTTCCTATCAAATTTGTCTAAAAAGTGGCTGGGATGCCTGCACTAAAAATCTACTTGGTAGAATGCAAACCATATGTCTTGAAATAGTACCTGGTGGCTATCGAGAGTTTTACTTTAAGTATGGTCGATAGCTAGAGGTTTTACTTGAAGTCTTTAATTTAGGTATGGTTAATACTATCCTATATATGGCCCTTAGTGGTCGGTGTCAAGAGGTTTGCTACAAGTCTATGGTCGGTATTTAGAGGTCTAAAACTGACATTTCTATTCACCTTTTTTCCTTTGTAGTGCCGACCCAGGCACCGATGGCTCTTTGGAGAATTTCCAGACTCGTATCATTATATCAAGCGATGGCACCAACATGTGGCTGGCTCCAGTGATTCTTTCTAGCTCCTGTAAAATCAAGATACAATACTTTCCTTTTGATGAACAGGTAAATGGAAAAAACCCTTTATAACTCTTTTCTGAGTTTGATAAACGAGATGCATTCTATTTTAGCTTAGGTACGATCATCACCGTATAAGCCATGAAGAAAATATGTTTGTACCCGAGCTAGACCACAATACATTGCTATCTTAATGAAAGCCAAACAAGGTGCATTCTGATGAACAAAATATGTCTATGTCTAATTTAACTTGAGTATAATCATCACCATATAAGCCATGAAGAAAATATATTTGTACCCGAGCTAGACCACAATGCATTGCTATCTTAGTAAAAGCCAAACAAACTGCATTCTAATGAATATAATATGTTTATACCCCATTGGTTTATCAGTATTGCAGATTGAAGTTTGGATCTTGGACCTTTGATGGCTTTCATTTGGACATTAGAGCCCAGGCCCCCTTTGCTGCGACAGGAAAATTCGTACCGAACGGAGAATGGGACTTGGTGGACGTACCTGCTAAACGTAATGAAGAGTATTATGACTGCTGCAAGGCTCCATACCCTGATGTGACTTTTCGTATCCATATTAAAAGAAGAGTGTTGTTCTTCCTCTTCAACCTCATCATTCCTTGTTTGGTTATTGTATGTAAGTACAGAGCTGAATTTATTTCTTTATTATTATTAATATTAATATTATTATTATCGTTGTTGTTGTTGTTGTTGTTGTTATTTGTTGTTGTAGTAGTAGTAGTAGTAGTAGTAGTAGTAGTAGTAGTAGTAGTAGTAGTA